TTAACGATAGCGCTGGAAGTAGTAGGGCCCAGCTATTCAAACGTGTTAAAATCGCTGGAACGATCTGTTGTGACCAACTGCTGTTTATTGTTGTATGTGCAGTGATTAACGATTTCCTTGGTTGCTGCAGTTGACCCCAGTTAACTGCTCATCATATTTCCAAACATTTGTGAAAATATACGGTTTGTTTAAAAACCTTATCGCATTCTTTTAGTTTGATGTTCGTTGGGACTACATTTCGATGGTTACTCAGAAAAGGCGTTTTAGATTGTTAGTGGACGAGCGTCTAGTGCATACCAACGTGTCCACTACATATGTAAGGACATCTATAGATATTATTTATCAAGGTCTTTGATGAATTTGACGTACCAGTATCGTTTCGACAGTTTGTCTAGGGTCGATATTCCGACAAAAGATACAACTTTGGATGCAGGGTTTTAAGTAACTCTACATATGAGGTTGATAAAAAAAGCTCCTTTGCTGTCTGGATACAGCTCCTGTGTGTTAGGTGAACATGCTCCAGCATCGTTCTTTTAAATTTTCTCTTATTTGCAATTTATTTTCCTTCGAATACTAAACCATCTTCTTGGGCAAACTGATCACGCTTTTGAGAAAGAATGCTAGTTCCTCCAGAAACACTTTTCTATCGTGCGGCCATCCGTTTCTAATTGATTGAGTTGTCAGTGTAAAGTAGCGTCTTGCGCCGTTGTTTCTTTGGGTTATGTGATTATATCATACTATGTATTACATCGTATACAGTATAATTGCGACAATGTCAAGAGGAGGCTCGCCAGCTGTGTAAACTCGAGTTTCCGACTGACAGACCAACTGGACGTCATATTAACGGACAGTCTCTGCAGCTTTCTTGGTGCAGCGAATAACGGTTTCCTCACCATTGAAACCAACGGCTTGTGACAGGTGTGAACCGTTGTGTTCACATCAAAAACAGCAAATGAAGGAGTGATAAAGTGAACTTCCAACCAGAACAAAGCACTGAGGTTGACAAAGATGACGCTGAAAAACGATAACAAGTCCCATAATTGCGATGTAGTGAAGGTTAATTATTTCAACCCACCTAGTACAATGAACTTCTGATTTCATAAATCAGGCGAGCTCTACCACGAACTAAGCCCAAGTATAGGGTCTCACTTTGAAAATGGTCAACTGAAAAACTTATGGGGAATGCGACAGCTGTGATCAGTTGTAAGTGGAATTCAACTGACATTGATCAAAATCCAATGCTACACACCAATAACAAATTAGATAGGCGGACTAAGATGACATCCACTTCACACCAGTCACGAATATCTTATCAGTGACATTGAAAACTGGCGAAATGCTGCCACCAAATACCATGAATCTGGCTAACCTATGCTATATGGGTGTTCAGTGATGGCCACCTAGTCGCTACGAGGAAGCACCACTCAAAGATCAACAGACATCCCAGGTGTAGATTCTAGGATGTCATTAATTATCCAACGACGTAGAAAAGAAGCACTCGTTCCCTTCTGGTAAACACCATTTGAAGTGGTGTACATTCGTGGCAGAACCCACAATTCTTAAAAACGACGGACAGCTCCACGTGCCTTCAAGACACCTTTGTAGAACACGCAATTTCAGAAGGCGGTATGAACAACCGAAATGGAGGGGAGAATTGAATATGTCACTTGAAGGCCGATGATACAAAGCTTGTAACAGTCAGGTTAAAACCTCGCTTGTTCTTTTAAATACTAACTTTTCCGGGTTCGATGGGTCGAGGAAAGATTCCATTACCCACAATCTTGCAAGCTTTAGGAGCAAGTACAGTGTCTCGAAAGCCCGTCGGTGCCTTAAAAAGTATGTTCGGAGTCACCGCCAAAGAAAGAAAAAGTGGAATCAGAAACTGAATTTAAGTATGCTTACTAACAACCCGCCGTCAACACGATTGCTTTGATTCCAGTTGACATGCCCAAGGTGAGGGCTTTCAGCATGGAATAGTCAGCCGCTCGTCGCTAAAGATCAAGAAAAGAAAAGAGTAAAAACAAAGCATAAGTGCAAATAGTTGAATAAAGACAAAATGTTACAAACAATGGTCTGTAATAATCCGGTCTGGTGCGCAAAACAAAACAGAGCTTAGGACCGAAAGACATGTTAACTGACAACGGCGAGTGTGCAAGCTCTGAAAACGAATCACAAACTTTAAAACGTATCAATCGATAATTTTGAACTGCCAACGTAGAGCAAGAAGATCGATATGCTCGAGCGCTGGAATAAGAAACAAGAGATCACGGGTGGCAATAACGTACCATCCATAATACACAGCTTAAGGAATCTTGACAATAAATTACCATCGCAAACGCAGGCATGACTATGGAAGAACGAGAGCCGTTCGTGAATACGCGAGCAAGGTTTATGACAAAAGGCTACAGGACAGTGAAATCTAAAAATATGGAGGATCCAAAATCTAACATATCAGGTAGATGATCTATCCAAACAGTTCCCGATCATTCACACAGAAAGGGAATCAACCTGAGAAGCTGTGGAGAATACCACTCCGATTCACCGTTTGTCCAAGCCCCGACACAACAGACAACTCAATATCACTTTAGAATGCAGCATCAGGATTGGACAAACAGTTTCAATGTTATATCTTCTGCTATTCGCCAAGTTTTTTGTTTTGTGGTAGACTAATCAGCATCAAACTTGTGACGCTGAATGTCCTGAATGTCAAATAATGACAAACTCCGATTTCCTTGGTGCTGACTTACATCAAATAAATCTGTGTTCTTGTCCCATGAATAGCAAATGCTTACGGCAACTAGTCCGAGGTCTTCTCCTTACTGTTTATGCAGGAGATTTGAATTCAAGCACGATTCCTAGGGCTACTTGAGGTCTCTAATTTCAAGTAGTACAAAAATCGATCCGATTAACAGTCATAAACAACAGGTAACCAGTACCATCTTCTTGGGGGTCCCGGTTCGAAGTCGGTGATTCCGCTGACAGCGAAGGACGAGTCTAAGCCAGAGATATACAGTGAATAAGGCATCGCCACCCGACATCCATTACTAAAGAATGCAGTACGCCGCACTTGCGAGTAATACTGAAAGCTATTGGATTACAGGATGAAACACCAACCGCTCGAAATGATCCTAGTGTGAGGATATCTTTCTAACTGCTTCCTCTCCAATAGGAAAGCAGCGGTCTAACCACCATGGAAACAATTGTACACTAAATACGGGGCGGTGAGCTCTATCCATACAATCGATAAAATGACATAAAAAGTTGGTGAACCTAAATGCCCTGCTACTGCTTGCTCCTACTTAACCCCCTTGATGATTGCTCTCGGAGAGACCAGATCTAAGAATCAACATACCTTAAAACACAGACACAGTACTTAAGTAGCAATATGTTAGCGAATCCGACTCTTCCGTCCAAAACCACCTTCTTCCAGAAAACGATTTTACCCAATCAGAATGAGCGGAAATGTCCTGACCAGTCGAGAGGTAACCGTTGCCGTATTTTTTACCTTTTCGACCCTTATTCCGCTAAGCTCATTGGTGGCTTAGTGATCTCAACTATTATTTCAAGTAACCGTCTTTCGATCTTCTGTTTTGAGAATGTTCGTAGATCGCTATACATCATATAAATATCCTGTAATTTTCTCCTGGATGCACACAATTTTGGAACGGAACAAACTTGCTTTCTGCACCCGTCTTTTAGTTTACCTTGGGGGCAATTACCAGGGGCAATTGCGTTATTCTCGAGACCAAGATTTTCCGTTTTATTTATCACGAAGAGGAGAATTCGATTTTCATACCGTGGACGAACAAACATATTTCTTCGAGGGTTTACAACATACTACAGAATGACAAACTGACCAAGTCGGACATATTCAACGTTGTTTCAATGACAACGAAAAAAGTTGAAACAAGTAACGGCAGGCACGTGCCGTCGATTGTCCAAATGCGGACCATATTTGACTAAGGAAAATGTTGGAGGCACAGGTAATGTGCACACGCGCGTTTCATGACCAAGAATTTTGATCCGTCATGTCACTGAATAATTGATAATGAATGTGGGAAGTACTCAGCGGTACTCAACTGAACAATGGAGGCGTAAAGACTGATCAACAACGGGCAGCAGATTGAACGCGAGAAAAAAACATCAAAGCAGAACGGGCATGAGGCAAAGCATTAAGCAAAGAAGGCAGACAGGACATCTAAGAAGACAAGATTATTTATACAGGAGAAAATAGAAGCACAGTATAGTGAAGTGCACGTTATTACTAGCCCCGCGCAAAGCGGTCTGGCATTTTGATTGTCGATTTAGTGGTTACACACATCCGGTTCTCAAATCACCCGGTGTCGTGTCAAAAGACACCATGACAACTTGCGTTGGTCGTAAAATGTTTTCTCGGTTGTCTTCAACACTTTTGTGCATACTTCCTTTTCTATGAAGACCATGTTAACGGAAATTTAGCCTACAGTTTCCCAATAGCGTTCGATCATTAGTTGTGAGAAATGGTTGTTGCTGCCTTGTTAATAAAGAAGATCGGATGGCCACATGTTCTTGTCGTGGGGTAAATGTACAACGTCTCACTTATTGAGTGCTCAACAGTGAACAGCTAGTTGAGACAACTACAAGATCAGACGGACTACAGCTGACAAGTGGAGTAGGGAATCAACCATTTAGTTGGTTTATCTCACCTGGATGGGAAAAGAATTATGTACTTAGGATCAACAAATAGAACTCTTAAAGATGATGAACAAGTACCAGGACACAGAGCTACCAATCGACAGGTAAACATTTGCAGGGTCACCGATCACGAATCAGCTGCACATTACCGACACTACAACCGGATTATGTGTCGGGCAAATCTGTTAGTATAACGTAGCAAAGGATAAGGAGAAACTTGATAGGACTGAATTAAAAATGGCATTTTTTGTGTAGAAATAGGTTTATAATAATGACAATGGATATCCAAAACAAATCAAACCCAGATGAGGTCAAATGGTGAATCTGGGCTTCGGCTGGGTTCGAACCAGCAACAGAATTCCCAAAAAAAACGGCAAGCACTCTGTCGGCTGAGCTAGGAAGCCACGCGGAGAACGTTGGTGGATTTCAACGTGAACTGTTGAGAAATCCCGCTTGGATAGTCAGTCCGCTGGATCATTTGATGAATTCCATATGGCACAGTGGATTGGGCGAGTAACTAAGTCCAAATATGAAAGTTCTCAACTCCCAGCGTAGGTTCCTAGCTCATCCGGCAGAACGTTTGCAGCGATTGAGCATGTTGTTTCTGTTGCTGATTCGGACCCGGTCGAAGCCCAGCTTTTTCGTAATTGGGTCTCATCTAAATTATGAAATCTACCACGTAACTCATAAGTCAATCAAACTTAATTATAAAAGCAAGTATAGTAAACAGGCATCTTCGAAAATGACTAACGAACCTTGGCAGTCTCCGGTGTACGCCACGCGGTCAACACATTGGATCGTACGAATTCATCGTACGCTGAAACAAGTCTCACAGTTGATACAGTGAAGGCGACGATCCCACCAATTATTAGAGGCATACGCCTTGCCCTTTGACCCGTTTTACTCAGCTCAGTATCTTGCAATAATAGCCTACAGATGAACGAAAGGAAAATGTCAAGATGGGTAGAAACTATGTTTACGGCGAGAAAAATAAAGACTGGAGTCTGATCCATGGAGTAGATGCTGCCAAATAATCGTCCACCGACTGGGGAGTCGCGATATCCGCATTGCTGGACAGTTGTAGATCAGAGAGATCACTGATGAGACCATGCTTAATTATTGTGTTCCGATGAGCCAGATCGTCGTCGATTTGAGTAGCGGTCTTCCCAAAAATTGCAAAGTCAGCATCAGAATCGTCGTTCATCAACTATAATGTTTGGATGTAGGCGTCCGCGAGGCTAAAAAGAATTGAAGCGGATGTCTCGTTAAATGCACATGATGCTTCTAAGCCATATAGTAAGTTAGGCAAATGAATATAAACATCAAGCGGTTAAAGAGTAGATAATTAGCGCTGACATGCAATTGAGATGGAAGATTACAAAAAGTCCACGCAAAATGCAACTATTTGCGAACCAATGAATAAACGTGCGTATGTATTAAAACCACGGCAGTCTCAGCCTCACAGTTAGTGGCTTTTGCGCAAACAATTGTGGCTAACACTTGGTAATCAACAAACCTTCCATGAACTTTGGTAATCGACAATCTCTACTATGTCCAATCACATTGAGCGCTGATTTCGAATCCACGCGGTGGTCGGTCTCTAACGAATGTCTACTAATCGACGAAGTGACTGTGGAAATGAGCACTGATTTGCGTGGTTGCCTGAAGCATACCATTCACCAGCCATTTCGGAATATGCTCGTCCATTCTTGTTTGGGGCCTTCTGCCTATGTATGTTTATCCGTAGCAACCGGTACAGCTATAAATTACGCGAGAGGTAGAACCTGTGGGAATGTCTCCCCTCATTTACTACAGCATTAATCTTCTGGTGTCAGTGAGTATCATCTGTTCTGCGGTGTTGTAGGTCCTCTTGACTGCCGCTTTGAGACGCTGTAGACCTGATTACACTGATTGACACCAGAAGATTAATGCTGTAGTAAATGAGGGGAGACATTCCCACAGGTTCTACCTCTCGCGTAATTTATAGCTGTACCGGTTGCTACGGATAAACATACATAGGCAGAAGGCCCCAAACAAGAATGGACGAGCATATTCCGAAATGGCTGGTGAATGGTATGCTTCAGGCAACCACGCAAATCAGTGCTCATTTCCACAGTCACTTCGTCGATTAGTAGACATTCGTTAGAGACCGACCACCGCGTGGATTCGAAATCAGCGCTCAATGTGATTGGACATAGTAGAGATTGTCGATTACCAAAGTTCATGGAAGGTTTGTTGATTACCAAGTGTTAGCCACAATTGTTTGCGCAAAAGCCACTAACTGTGAGGCTGAGACTGCCGTGGTTTTAATACATACGCACGTTTATTCATTGGTTCGCAAACAGTTGCATTTTTGCACGAATATTTTGTAATGTGTCTGACCGACAAAAGCGCGAGAAATGAACCCGTCTTCCAAAATACTTGTTCTCCATTCAATGCCCCAATAAGTTGGCGGATACAAAATGTTTCATACTTGTGAGACGAAGACTTCTCGATCTGTCCATTAACTAACTAAATTGTCCAATAAGACTGCTGTAAAGTAGTTATCACAAATAAAATTTCGTAGACCATCCGGTGGAGCACTTGTACAAAAATACGTGGTTCCAGTCACTGGTTCCTATACAGCCAGTGTCTGGATTTATATCTAATGGACCTCTTTCAACAATTCACGCATTAGCGAAAATGCCTTTCACAGAACCGATTCGGAGATACAGTTTAGTCATCGGAGAAACGTGTTAATTTGGGGACGCTCAGATTACTGCACGACTGCGTACGCGCGGACAACAATATATATCCACCGGAAGGGAGAAGATGAAGTGGATTGAAGCCAATCGGGAAAGAGGGAGATCTAAAGATATTTCTTGGGGAAATCTTGCGCGCAATGAAACGAACAAGTAAGGTTATGAGGTTAGGTTGATGAGGTATGTTACGTTAAAAAAAGGAAACAATTTCAATCCGAATATAAGTGGGGTCGCAGGTAACAGCAAAATAGAGAAGACGATTAACCTGGAGAACAAAACAACTTAACAGTCAAAGTATGATAAGGTCAGTTTGTTATAACCCGACCAGCCGTGCGTAATCAGAACACGAGACTGGAGAGCGTACACTGGATTTCTACAACTCAGTGAGTGACCAACATGAATGTGACATGTTACCCATACACATGACCAGTCTGACAAACAACCAATCAGAAAGTAGAAACCTATTGATCCAATTTAACCAGACCACCAACGGCTGGTAAGGCAAATAAACAGGTGTTAGGATAAAAGTACAGCGACAGCCTACAATAGTGAGAGCGTGCCCGTAACAGAATTTTGCCCAGCTACCCTTCTACTAAGATGTAAACGTCAAAAAAACGGCTAGACCAAGATGTTTGGAAAGAAATTCAATGGAAGAGAAAACAAACCTGAGGGATCTAAATAACATAATTTAACAGCAGGCATTTGATACACAAATACATGTAGCAATAGGTAAATGCCGGCCGGTTATCAAGTGCGATGTGAAACACTTTGATTTTCAGAATGTGAGTGAATCCTGAGAAACTACAATCTTTGAGTAGGAGGATGAGGTTTAAGTTGTAAAAATCCCGTGTCTAAATCTAAAGGTTTGACATAAAGGTTTTTAAATTTTGCAATGATCAACCAGGGCGCGATTAAGAATAGGGCGGCGTCTGCGAGACACTGCCCTGCTTCATTAAGTCAAGGCTGCTCCATTTCACTGTCATGTCAATCTTACCAGATGGAGTAATGGAGAGGTTTGTCCGACAGAACACCGAAATATAAACTTCACCCCTTATGGAAGTCTGAATGACTATGCCGACAACAAACTTCGACCAGCAAAATTAATGTTAGACGACAGCTTACGCCCTTCCAAGTAATCCGATGCGCGACTATAACTTCAAAACGCCTCTGCAAGACTGCTGAGATAGCGTGCACTTAATGTTCTATAATGAAGTTACTGTAACTGGTAACCGGCTCGCGAATTTGGAAAGCAATATCAACAGCGGAGAAGGATAGGAAATACAATGGAAGCCCTCATCTCAGAAGCAAAGGCAGTCTTCGTTATTAGAAGTTAACTCCTAAACGTGAGGACTACAGATATAAGGCAGCAAAGAGGTTACTGCAAATCTCCGACATTAAAACATGGCCGCTCCGAGCAGAGTGTTTGAGAGGTCTTCGGATATTCGGATAGAGATGTCCACGATCGAGCGCAAGTCTAAGGTGATTTCGACAGATAAGTCAATATGAGGTCGGAAGGTGGATAGCTGATATAAGAGTCAACCAAGTTCATTTGCCCATTCTGCAATAATGTACGGATCAAAGTGATTGGATCATGTACTAAAGAAGCCAATCAAGAGTTTGGAGTGTCAAGCGACTGCTCAGGCAATCAAAAGTAGTGCGTGAACACACGATAGTCGCGGAGAGACAAAGCAGAACAGCTCGTGGCAGGTTAGCAGCTGAAAGCTGCATTCTCTTTCAGAGTCAAGACATTCGCGGCGCGCAGAGATGTGGTTAGGAAAGTCACACAGAGTGAGTTAGGCCAGGCAGATCAATAGGCAGAGGTCTGACAAACCACTATCTCCTGATCCTCGAAGGCTGAGGGTCGGAAGAAGGTGGGCGTTATATTCCGGAAAAATTACCTTTCCTGGAACACTGCAACCCATTCACTGCCTTGCGGTATAGACTTTTGAGTCAGAAGCTTTGGTTGAGAATCCTGCCTAGGTCTTGGCAACCTGGCATTAGCTCAGTCCACGTACAACCATGACTATTAACAACACCCGTAATTCCCGACTGCATCAGCCGTCTCTCATGATGAACCGGGTCGACACATCTGTTGCACACAACAAAGTGGATGGATGAAAACGTGCTACTGCTGACGCCTCCTCACACTGTCCTGTCGAGTTTAGTCCTGAGGCCTCTCCAGACCACCATTTCTGGTGATTACTCTACAGGTATAGCTAATCATAGTAACACTGCCGATAAGTCGCATCTCTTACCATTCAGCCTCAGACCTCTCGCGCCCCTTGATTAGATCTAGAATACGAACTAGTATAAGTGCTTTCAACGTTCGCATTCCAAAACTGATGGGTCAACAGGCCGCTCTCACACGAACGGTAGACTCGTTGCATGTCGATGTCTGCTGCATTTCGGGGACTAGGATCCAGGACAATGGTCAACGTATGGAAATAACTGCGGCCGTACTGTGAATTCGGTACCGGTTGTACACTTCGGGTGATTCCACGATCGTCGCGACTGGTCACACGATGGCCACAGTCGCATTGGTAGATTGGATTCCTGTTAACAGTATACTTTGTACCGTCCGATTGGCAGATTCCGTTAAGGCCAGCTGTAGACGCGAAACTTTCAGAATTCTTTTCAGTGTGTCTGTTTATGCTACAGCTGAT